TATCCTAGTTTTAAATCAAAAAATCTGGCTGAATTATTGAGAATGGGCCAGAGCACTAAAGGCGTTCTTTTTTTGAGTGGTAAGCCAAAATCTTAGGCATAGTTCTTTAATTTAGATCAATCTCAAAAGCATAGACTGCAGCAAATAAGTTCTGTAAGAAGATCAGTGGAAGTGTAAGAAATTTGGAGGAGATTACGATCTGTTATTCTGAAGAAATAAAAATAATCTCGAGGAAATCTGAGAGCTCCCGAGTCATGTAAGCACTATACAATCAAAAAAAGGACATCAAAAACTATCTTACTCACCACTAAAGCAAACTCGATCACGTCATCATACACGTACCCTTCATAGGTTAGAGGTAATGCGCGAACATACACTGAAAATGAATTTTTAGAGTCACAGCAGGTAATCGCAGCTATCTGAACAGAAATCCTCATTGATACAGAGCGCAACATGGAATGGTGTGTGACATATGCACTAACACCTTCTTACTACTTATATAACTTGAAGTCACAATCAAATGGAACAGTCATAAATCATGAAACACGTTTAAGTGTAGATTTTGCTTTAGCCAACCAATGTGCTCATCCCAAAAACCGATGACAAGTATTGCAAAGATTGGAGAGCGGTTTGTTAAGACCCTTATTACTCACCTACTCGAAGCTACTGTTAACTCACGAGATGCTCTTTCACCTTGTTAGTTATCCTTACATATTAAGAAAAAATTAGATAAAAACTTACCTGTTTCACCTGCAGAATAGATTGGCTTGTCTGTATGGATATGTAGTGCAGCGAGATTTGGCAATACTCTTATATCACTTTCGAAATTTTTGCGCCCTTGTAAATCAACGGTTATTTTTGCCTTCTCTACAGGGCCAGGCACTTCGAAAGAGAAGGAGTGAGGGACGCCTAAACAAAACAGGGTTAAAGAAGATAATAAGATATATCTGCATAGTGTTGTCTTCGATTTTATAACAAACGCTGGAATATAGATATCTCTATTCGAAGGGAGAAGGTACATAAGTTGAATGACGAACAGAAAAAATAGTTCAAAGAGCATTCCATTGTTTGCTGTCGCAGATTCGATTTTGTCTACACCTTTGATATTCAATCTACAACGACGATGATGCCACACAAACACTTAAAGCGTATTAGCAACGCTAAAGGAAAAAAAAAACCAAGAAATTACTTGAAACTTTTCCGCTTTTGAAATGTTCTAAACATTCTTTACCTATATGCCAAAAGCTTATGTGAATTTCGCAAAAAGTTCAACCGTTCCGGAGATGTGAAATAAGCAAAAAAAATGTCCCCTAGCCCGGCTTAATTAGGATATCATGAGTCTCTCGTTCGACATCGATGATTGTAATGGTAGTAGTATAGTAACAAATTATTTTATGGAGATATAACAAGCTAAAGGGATAAATAACTAAAAAGCTATGAACAAAACCAGGAAACCATGGAAGTAGGAAATAAATAGCAAAGTGACTCACCCGTTCTTTTTGCTTTGAGCTTTTGCGTAAAAATAATAGAGCTTTTGCTTTCTTTATACCCCAAAACAGTGATGTGGATATCAGCACTTTCGCTTTCATTCTACAAAAAAAAAAAAGAAATCAAACGCCAACGCAAACCTCTGCTTAGAAATGAATCCAAC